TGTGCTTTTTTAATGAAGAGAGCTATAGTGAGGATTTTTCTGGTGTCTTCTTTGTTGGAGAGTGTTGATTTTTTGCCATGGGGAGCAAAGGGTCCCACTTTATTTTGCTTTGTTGCTGTAGCCTGATTTCCAGTTTAACAATTCAGTTTCTGGGTTGTAGTGAGTGCTAAATTCTGTGTGATTTTATTTTTTGATTACCAAATCAACTCATCGCTTGCATGTTGCGATGTTTTTTTCTTTTTGTTGTTTAACACCGTTGCTTTTATTCTATGTCCTATTGGAGACAGTGGGTACCCGAATAAGTGCTCACATCATCATACTTCAGTGTGACCTCCTAGTACTATATTTCCGTAAAGACCTTTTGTGTGTTGGGTCAAAAAAGCTTTTGAGTCTGACCAGCCTGTCTGAAATTCTGGTAGGCTGACTATCAGTTCACTTTTTAACTACTGTATGTTGTTGTTCACTGTCCTATAATTTAGCAACATCAAAAAAGTTACTTTTCTATAACTTTTTTTGCAAAACAAACATTCAGCACCATAAACCAGTATGCTCAGGTCCTCCAAGATGTGTGATTTCAGCTGAAGATAATATACTAAAATCTGCAGTGTGTTTCAGTTCTTTTTTCAACGAAAGAACTACTGCTTCATGCCTGGTGCCACTTTATGATCTATTTTAAGCTTCCTTTTTGAAACTGCAGAAAACAAAGGCGACGAGTGAAAGCTCCCCTCAATAAACCAAATAGATGTCTCTGGGTAGCTTTAGAATACATGTGTGCACACGTACACAATTTCAGTCTGCTAAAGACTTCTTTTTTCCCTTTATGAATAAATTATAGCATATAACAATAAACTCAGTAAATAATGAATGAGTCACGCTATCATCCAGGTGGAAAATGTACCAGGTGGAATTAAGTTTGGAGAGGCAGCATAATTATTTCATTGTACTTGCCAATCTGAGTAACTCATCTAAATTTTATAAACTGCAGCCCAAGAATAGTGCTAGAAATCTATATGCCTGTACACCTGTCCAAGCCAATCCTATTTATTTATTTTAGTGAAGCCCTTGACGGTAAACTACTTTTCATGCTCCAAAGTATTATTCATTCCTGGAATATAGTTACACAGAGAATTTAATGAAGCACATCTTGGAATATGACCCTGCTTTTCGGCTGCAAAAATGACTGGACATTTGATTTTATTGTCTTTAATATAGATGACAGGATAGGACAGTTTTGACCAGTGCCCTTGTGGGTTACAGCAGGAGCATTACCCAGTTGCCTTATACAGACATTTCTTCTGTTGGACAGCCCTTTAGCAAAATATTAAAATAGCATAGGGAATCATACTGCAGCCTGGCCTGTCAGTCATCCAGTGTGAAATGGCAAGGCTGGGGAGTGTGCTGAGTGCTCCCATGAGTATATAAAAAAATGACCCTGGTGAGATCAAGTTTCACCCTTCAGCACCTGTTCCTCACTTTCTGTTGGTTTCAATAGAAGCCCAGATGCACACATGCAAACATACTTCTGAGGGTCTGATGAAGGACACATTTGAAATATCTGAACACAGAAGTAATCAGCTTTTACACATGTTAAAATTAACACAGTCCTCCAATCTGCATGGCCAGCCTTTCTCCTGCCCTAGCTCGATGACTTGTACTTTAAAGCATTAAATTTGCATGTCTCTCAGTCGCTCTGAAATATAGATCGTAACAGGAACAACTCATTGAATTTAAGTCACAAGCTGCACAAAGCCTCCTACATTTTATGAAATATGGCATAATGGATTTTTTTGTAGGTATTTCATCGCTGTCTAACCGAGCCTGTCCAATCAAACATACTCTGTATTTAATAAAAAGCAATATCCACTTTATTGGCTTGAGAGAGGAGTCATTCCAATAAGTATTTGTTCATCATTTCACAACAAACTGTCTAATATCTAGCTTTTTTAAAAAAAAACAATGTTTGAGGGTGATTTTATTTTATTACTCTCTGGCATAAAATAAATACTTGTGACTTTTGGATCCAGTCCATGCTATTTGCTATTTTGGTAATGTGAATAGTATTTTTTTTCAAATATAATTGAGATTACTTTCCATTGATTTTTTTCCCCCTTTTTTTCTTCCAAGTAGGGAAGTGGTGGGTATTTTTTTAAAAATGCTTTATATGAATTATTTCCTGTTTCAATCTACGATGTTTCTACCCTACGGAAATCCACCATTTTGTCCCTCCCCTCACATCGGCTCTGATGGCATCTGCGTTAGGGGTTAACATGGGGGTTGGGCGGGGGGGGAATCCAAGGAGACATCCAAGCTCGTAGAAAGCTGGTAAGATAGCAGTAGTAACAGCTGTCTGCTTATTGGTCCCACAGCTACTATCAGCAGTACAGCCAGTCAGCAGTACAGCTAATGGAAGAACTGAAATGGCATATCTGCCTGGTCTAGAAACAAAAAAAAACTCTTGTAATGCAGTAGGAGATTTGTGAACTTTCATTTCCCCAAATAAGAACGTAGGCATGTGCCAGACAGAAAAAATAAACTTCAGTTCATCGGGTTGATGCCATTTTGCCATTGAAAGTATAGACAATTCCCTTTCGAAACTGCCCACACTGTTTGCATCCCCTGCAACCCTGGACGCACTGTTCCTCATAATAATCCTTGCCTTTTTAATAATTCTTGCATTTGATATAGCGCCTTATCACATCCTTGAGACGTCTTAAAGTGGGTCACAGAATATACTGTAAAATGAATTGACTGTATATTTTGTGGGAAAAATGTGGCAGCCAATTGTGCACAGCAGTGTACCACAAACAGTCGTGGATTGAGTGACTACATTTTTAATTTAAAAATGTGGAGTGATTATTACCCCCAGAATAGTAATCCACCAATCGACAAACAATCGGGTTCCTACTTACTGCTAGGTAAACAGAGGCGTGTGGAGAAGGGAAAGTTGCCTCATGTTTCACCCCGCCGGGAATCAAACTCCACCCCCCTCCCCTCCCCCCGCAACAAAATTTGAGAATGTGCCCCCTTTTTGTGGACATATTGACCATAATGAATAGCTATTGCAGTCTAGCTTGTCTATATACTTCATATATTTCTGCATCCAGAAGATCTAGTTGTGTCTTCTCCCATGAAAGCATTCCAGCTTATGCCAAATCTATTCATAGCTGAAGAGCCTTATCCAATGGCTGATGTATGAGAGTGGTTCTTGATATTATTATGAGGTTTGTATTAATTCATAAGGTGGGGCAGTGGGTGTGGGGGGTAATAATATTATTTAAAACTTGGTATCTCTAGTATCTTGGTATGATTTTATCCAGCGGACCAGATTCCCAATCTTGACTTTGAATTCAATATGCTAAGTGGATATGAAATAAAGTATTGCATGATTTAGAGTGGGGGTGGGGGGGAGCCCATGCATCTGAAATGCATCTTCTATTTGATAACTAGAATTCCATTGACATAAGTACCTATGATCAATCTTCCTTCTTTGAGAAAGGGAGGTAGGAAGGCAGTCAAATCCAAATCCTTTTTTAAAAAAAAAGACTATCTGAGTGTTGGCTTCGGTTTCTGTATGGGTTTCGCAGAACCTCGATGAAGTGTGTGTAGGGAGAGGTGGGGGTGGGGGGAGGTAAAAAAAAACGTTTCCTCCCTCCCCCAATGCATGAGACATGTTGATTTAATTTCATTTCTTTTATAAAAGAAAAAAAAGGTGCAAATTGAAGAACGCATTGCTAAAGTAATGTTATGCCTTTTGGTGTGGGTGGGTGTGTGGGTGGGTGTGTGTGTGTGTAGATGGTGGTGGGGGGGGGGGGTGGGGAGGAGAGACAGAGATAGATTATACACTAAAACTAGAAATTAAAAGAATCAGATGGGAGCAGAGTTAGACCAGGGTCAGGTGGGAATCCATCCATTGCACCAGATGCACTTTTCTGAATTAGAGTGAATCCAGTTGGGAAGAGGGTTTACAACGTGATTGATGCTGTTTTGATCCAGTGTAAACAGTCCCGTTGTCACAAAGAACCACCAACACATAAAATAACCAACAGGTTGCCCGAGTAACAGTGCAACTGCAGTTACAACACAGGAACACAGCAGTTAATAATGCTTAGAAACAGGGCAATGCTTCATGTCTGGGCCCTATTACAGTACGAGTTGCTCTGAAGCTAACGTTTAGGCACAGGATGCAGTGTTGGGGGTGGGTTGAAAGAAGTTTTGTGCTGTGGAAGTGTCCCCCCCCCCACCAGTGTTAACTGTTTCACAAAACCCAGTGGGGAGCAGATGGGAAAGACTTTGCTGACATTGGGAAACGCAAGA